GCGCAAAGCATTGTGGTTTACTTGCTGTCGTAATCTACGCTTGTATGGGTGCAGTTCACTAATAGAGCCTGAAAGTAAAATGTCTTGCAGCCAGTTTCCGGAACCCTCGCGCGGTCCACCTGTGGGTATTTTACTTGTGGCCGTCCTATCAAGTTCGATAATTTTTGAAGAATGATTTTCCCTTTGTCCTCCTTAAGGATAATATTTTGGATAATCATTCGGAGATGGGTAAAAAACGAATTTCATTAACGACCTTTCACTTCGGGCAATAATGTTCCTAGGTCTCCTTGTTCGTGCACGTTTGTTTTCATTCCCCGCGCTTATGTGAAAACGAGATTGTACAACGTTTCAATTATTTACCTACCTGAAGTGGATGGGTTCTAGATTCAGTCGCGTTGACCGGACGCAGTTGTTGTTTGAAAAGGTTAGATTAAACATTAAAATCTTTTGTAAAAGCGGAATATTGTTTTAAGTTTAGTTCCTTAAAATTAAAATCCCGTAACTGTTTATCTGCGTACGAGACCAGTGTATTGGACGTACTGTTTTTCATGTATTTTGTTTTTCCGAAGTGATAGGTCAATCTTTGGCAGGAGATTTCTCTTTTAGGTCAGGTAATTTTTCAGTTCTATAAATTGATATGCTAGCAAATAGTTTACAACAGGCCTTCTTTTTTACAAGTTTAACTTTAAAGAAGGAACTGAACGAAAAGATATTACGAATTCTAAGAGTTTTACACGTTATTTTTCCTATCTAATGTTTCCAGAAGCGCTCCATTGGGGGCCAACTTTCAAGCTCTATTCAAACAATATTTTCCGCTGAGCTCATTAACATGAAAAGTGACCCCTAATATTTTTATTTGAAAAAGGCAGCCTGCTTTGCCCTTCAAATGTTGGGATCGTGTAAATCTTTCCCCATGATCAATTCTCGTTTCTTTTTGGGCTGCCATTTAAAGGCAGAACGGATAAAAAATACAGTTGAAAAGGGTCTTAAGCGCCCGAGAAAATAGAGGAAGGCTGCGTGCAGAGCGACCTTGGAACTGGCACTTTTCGTGGGATGATTTTGTTTTGTGTGAATAATTAAAAATGTAATTGGTTTACCCCCTAAAATTGACAAAAAATTGAAAAATTAATGACAAAATTATTGTGGTCGAGAGACCCCAGGGATGTTGGCTTGCATATTTTATTGATCCCTGAACAATGTTGATTTTACACTGTTTTCAATGGGCTTACATGTACCCGTATTTAACTGCGCATATGTCACGAGTACATGGAAAACTTAGCCCTTGTTATTGTTTAACCAGAATTGACAAATGAGTGCTCAGTAAAGATACTACGTCATGATATCGCCTATCCAGCCCCCCTCAGTGGGTGATGAGCGAAAAGTCAACCTCTGTCCAGTGATGGCAGTTCGTCTGGGATAGCGCCCCCTCACAGTCAGATTCCCTGACGACCCTTGATAAAGAATCTTAGGGGTGCACTGAACTAATTCAAGCTCCACTGAAAATAGTGTAAAATCAACCAAGTTTGGAGCCCCATG